TGCTTCTCCCTCTCCCACTCCCCCTGCTTGTGTTCCCTCTCTCACTGTGTCTCTCTCTGTCAAATAAATAAAATCTTTAAAAAAAAAAAATTGTTTTTTTCACATAAGTTTTTTATATACTTATGGGCAATTTTTTAACAGAGGAATTCCAAACAGATACAGAAATGACAGAACTGGAAAGTGACTGTTTTACAGCCCCCAGTTAACCAGTGTATCCCATCAGACCTCATCCGTGGAAGAAGCCCTTATACGAAGGACTGCCAGGGACTTTTACAGTGGACAGACCGGGTTCTCGCACCTGCACACAATCATCAATTTCAGCATTACTATCAGAGACAACTAAGCATTATGTGCCTCTTGATATAATGCAGTATGACGCACACAACCCCACCGCTGAAGTGTTCTGGCCAAGAAAAAAAAGAACCTGAATCCAGTTAAACCTGTAGAGTTAAGGTACAGTTTACAGGAAATGTGGGAGAACAAGTTGAGTGATGCCATAAACGAACAGCCAGATCCACAATGTGGGACAATCTACAGGGCAACTGACCTACTTCTCAGAATGCAATAATAGGGTGGGGAAAAAAATGAGAGGGAAACTAAACCAAGACTCACACAATGGATCATGCAAACGCAATGTACAGGGTCTCACTAGGATCCACAAACTAAAAGTGAAAAGACATTTTTTTAAATAATCAAAAATGTCTCTGAAATCTGAAAATGGATTAAAATTTATTATGTTACCAAGGAATCCTCATTTCGACATGACAATACCATTATAGTTACGTAAGAAAATGCACGTGGACTACAGAGATACATTCCAAATACATAGCAGTAAAAATGGTATGACTCTGGGATTTGCCTTAAAATAGTTCACCAAAAGGGGCACCTGGGTGGCTCAGTCGGTTGAGTATCTGACTCTTGATTTCGGTTCAGGTCATGATCTCAGGGTTGTGAGATTGAGCCCTGAGTCAGGCTCTGCACTGGGCATGCAGCCTACTTGAGATTCTCTCTCTCTCTCTCCCTCTAACCCTCCCCACACCCCCGCAAAAAAAACGAGAGAGAGAGAGAGAGGAGAAATGAGACAAATGTGGCAAGATATTGATAACTGCTGAATCTGAATGATGGGTACATGAGGTTCATTAAATTATTCCAGTGTTGTGTACGTTTTAAATTTTTCATAATAAAATACTTTAAGATTATTAAATTAATTGTTAACATTTACAATAATTTTTAGAAGAGTTTCATCAAAAACCACAGTAAGTGATTGGTAACCATAAGAACAGTAAGTCAACATAATCCAAAGGAATTCATGCCATATGCTAGACTTAAGGTGAAAAAGTCACCCTAGTAACCACTACTGGTAATGCAAAAGTGTAGCCAAGACGGGAAAGCTTTGGGGAAAGTTCTCTCACCCAGGGACCCATAGTCAGGAATCACTGATGCCAAAAGATACACATGTTCTGTGAACAGCACTCCTGAGTTACCCCAGAGCAGCTGCCAGATACAGACTAGTGACGAGTTACTGCCCCAGGCTAGGATCCACTGTCCTAAGATCCCGCCTGTCCCTGCTTTTTTATAACGATATGCTCTTTGCGCTCATCCCTGTGAAAGCAGGAAAAATGACACTTTTGAAGGAAATAGGATGACAGCTGTATACACATGTACTCACCACACACACAGGCATACTCACTACCCACAAGCATGTGCACGCATGCGCGCACGCGCACACACACACACACACACACACACGCAAGAAATCCCTATCCTGGCCCATTTCATTTCAAAGAGGGCAAGACTAAGTCTCCCTTGAGAGGGTCTGTCAACAGCTCAAATAATCAGATTGTTTTATAGGCTGAGCCACATATGACAAGAACTAGATCCTCCTGAGAAAGACAGGCTCTGACTTTTTAAGCAATAACTCTGCTTGTTTTTGAATGCCAACGGAATTAAAGATCTGCCTCCTCTCTCTACAGAATTCACCATTCCTGCACATGAAGAGGGCCAACAAGACTGATTCCCCAGAGATGAAAGGACACAATGAAAAGGCTCCACATTCACAGAACAAGTTATCAACAGTAATAGGCACAGTCACAATGTCTCTTTGAATTTACATATTTTCCTTCTAACATTTTATATATACAAATATGTAAGATATGAACATATTAATATAATAAATGTAAAGTAAATATAGGACTTCAACTGCCCAGACATGAAAATCAACAGGTGTTTACCTGAACTGGGTTGACAAATTTCCCTTCGATCTTCATGATGCTAGAAGTTCCCAAGTCATCTGGACTAAGGGAGAAAGTCAATTCAGATTCTCTCTCTATAGGGATCTTCTCCAGTTTAAACTGAATGGTAGTGTTGTTCAGGATGTGAAAAGCTGCCATGACAGAGAGAAAATGACTGATTGGAAATACTAATATTTACTGCATTGTTGCTGAAGTGTAGGGTATATAAAATAGAGCCCATGCATTACCCTTAGACCCAAAGGGCAGAACAGCCTGGCACCTGGGGTCTATGACTAAGTGCAAACTCATAGCAAGACCAAGACCAAAACTCATAGCAAAAAGAGGTACAATATAAATTTATACACAAAAAGAAACAATATTTTTCACGACATGCTCCATTTGGTGGCTTCAAAATACAATGTTGCGAACATAATCCAGGCCAGGTCTCTAAGCTTCTCTTATTAGCCTCCCAAGCCAGCATTTTCCAAACTGAACTGCTCATCCCTACCCAGCTTTCAATTACAGATTGATCCCTCTTACTGGACCTACATCAAAGTCAAGAACAATTATCAGGTTCTAAGTGAACATCTTTTATCCCAAGCAGAAAAAGCAATCTTTAGGTAAGGATGTAAGTAAATTGGTGAATTAACATCTGAGAACCACATATGGAGAAATTCTCAAAGGCATGAATTTCTTCACCAATAAGTAAAGCCAGGCTTTAGGGCCCACTAGATGTCTGTGGATGTCAAGACTAATAGATTGAACTGTTTGGTTTTAGCAGATCAGATTGAGGACACAAATTCAGGCATTTTATTCCTAGGACCCTGGACCAATCCATTACAAAAGATGGGAGAATACTGAAAGGAAAATATAACATCCACAGACTAAATTTCATATTCCACTTTTGTCAACCCCTCCAGCTAACTTGGACTACAATATTTAACTAACAAAGATCTACAGCTTACAACTGAAAAAATCAGATGTATTTGACCAAATTAAATAATACTCCAACAGACTCCACCCTTTGAAGCATCCCTGTAAATGGGCACTCATCCAATGTTAAAGGGGGCCGGGCCACTTTAAAAAAAAAAAAAAAATTCTTGTTTTGTCAAATATGGTATCCAGTGGGAAAAACAGAAAACATACCAACCTGATATGAAGCATGGTATTAAAATTCTATTTTGATTTCTTAAATATTCACTGGGGATAATTCTAAAAGAAAAGGGTTTTGTTGTTGTTTTAAGCAAAGTACCACATACGCTGGGTTTGGAATATTTCGACAAAGTGAGACAAAAGATTTACACTCCTCACCTTGACCTCTATGCAAAGATTCAAAGAAATCATGTCGGGTGAAGTGAGCTTCCTCCTGACTGTTGGCACTGGCAGACCCAGAAGGAGAACAAAATGCCCGGTTTACTTCAGACCCAGGACCCTCTCTGCCTGTCAACTGGGTGCAATTCAAAGAATATAACTTAATGTCTTTAATTTCTACCCGCAGACGGTCACTTCTGGACTCATCATCTCCTGACACAAAATTCTGGATGAATATTTGTCCCAAGTGTCCCACCAACAACTCAGGACTCCCGGGCTTCCGAGGAATAGACACAACAGGGGATTCAATGTTTATGTTCAAGATTAGCTTTACGGTGTCGGAATGAGACCCAGAGAGGCCAAACCCATACATTTCATTTTCTTCTAAGATAAAGGACTCCCGAGTCTTCCTGGGCGTTTCAAAGAGTGACACCATCTCACTGTACTCGGCCGTCTTGGTAGCTAGTACCGTAGTGACTTTGGTAGCTGCGCTTTTCAGCATACTTCGAAAATTTTCTTCCAGCTCATCCATGGACAACGTCAACTCCTTCAAAAATTTAGCAGAGTGGTTATAATGCAAGGAAGCCATCTTGAGGTTGAGAAAACACTCCTGTTTAGACTTCTCAACAAAGGTGAAACTCAAAGCTTCGCTGAGGGCCGCATCTTCCATTCTAACAAATACAGATTCAAAGTAGCCAATGTCGCTAACGATATTTTCATAGCCTATGGAATTCCCAATGCTGACAACATACTGGTTCTTAACGTTATCTTGTGTCAAATCCATAAGCTGCAAACAGCCGAGAGAACCATTCATGTCAAATGCGCTACCCATGGAGACGTTAACTTTGGTGCCACCAATACTTGCAGTTGCAATTTTTCTGCCATATTTCTCGCCATTTGCCATCCCCACTGTCCGAAGGAGCAGTAAGTTAAGCCTGTGGATTTCCACGGCAACCTCGGTGTTCTGTTCATATGTAGCTTGGTAAGTTCCTTCCTCCCTAAAGCTTCTTTCAAAATCAGTCATTAAAGGCTGAGGACTCAAATCATCTTTTTCCTTGGGAAAAGATTTTTGAAGAAAACCAATCAGCTCCACAATTGTCTCCGGATTTAGGATAATATCCAGATTATTCACCTGTAATGAAATCACCTGAAGAGTGCTGTCCAAATTCATTGACGGGCACTCTGAACTCACAAACTGATATTCCAATTTGATGAGGGACTCCTGTTCTTTGGTGAGAATTTTGTCAAGTGAAACACCCATAGTCGATGGGTCATTCAGTGTGGCAGCATTAGTCAGGTGGGCCGCATTGGATCCAGAGACAGGAGACTGGGCCCTGCTATCCCGGAGGCTTCCTGTTGGGATATCAAAGCTCAAGTTCTTATGTGAAGCCATCAAAAGGTCAAAATCAGCACCGTACGTCTGCATCGTGTCCACCAGGAGCAATCCGTGAACGGTCAGGGAGACCTCAACATCGTAAGGCCTCTTCACAAAGTGAGCATTGGTCCCAAACACCTTGAGCACGGAAATGTACCGGCCGTTGCTCTCAACGCCAAGCTGCATGCAGTTCACCTTAAATTCGGCCAGGAGGAGCTGTGACTCCACCAGAACCTCCCGGGTATGCTGCTCCAACATCACAAAGCTCTGGGTTAAATTCATTACTGAGTCTTGCAAACTTCCCCGCTGCCCGCCTTGTGGAAAAATCTTCTCTTTAAACTGAGTGTCCGAAGTCTTCATTTCTGGGGTGGTCAGGAGAGCAAAGCAATTCTTTAGAGCAGATATTTTATCTTCATTGATGTGGATTTTCAAGTCTGGTAGGTTGCCGGAGAGCACAGCTCCGGGGTACTTGGGATCTGAAGTATAAATCAACCGACGTTCTAACTGTAGGTGAACATTGAATTTCTCAACCACGTGGGTTGGTCCCACATCAATATCCTGGACGTGCTTCCAATTGTCCTTCACTCGTCCAACCATGATCTGGAGGTCCATAAATGACAAGGAGTACCTCTCATACATCTTTGTGCTCATTAGATGGGCCTGAAGCTGCTCTGCGCTGAATCCGACCCCAGAAAACGGAGGTGTTTTCCCTCCATTGCTGCTGCTTGTCTCAGGAGGGGGGGTGTTCGGAGGTGTGGCAAGAGGCGTCTTATATTCATCATCACTAAACTGGTTCTCTTCAGATGCTAGCCCATCCCCACTTCTCCTCTTGGAGTCATCTGCAGATAAAAAAGAGAAGATTCAAAGTATACGTCTGCTCCTTTCTTACTCTTTCCTTTAATATAAAAATTAAGGAACAAGAGAGAATCGACCAACCCCAATTTAAAAAAACACAGGGATGAAAACTCTAAGCATGATATTCTGATTTTACCATTTATTCGATATAAACTTATCTAGTAATTTTGAAATCAAAACACAAAAGAGAAAAGACGGAGGCCCGCTGACAGCGGAACACAGGTCAGGGAGCAGAAACCAACGAATGACCCGCTTCCCTACCCCGTCACAAGCTGCTCTCAACAGCCATTCCTGCACCACTCTCCATCATCAGCTGTCTGTTCGCCTTTCCCTGCATTTGTCTATGTGTTCCCTTTGCTCCCCCACTAGAATGTTACAAAGGAACCCAGGCCTCACCTGCCTTACTCAACAACACCCTGAGTGCCCAGATCAGTGCTTGCAAGCAGGAACTGCTCAGCGTCACATTCAAGCCTGACTTCACAATTTAACCCTTCTCTTCTACAGACTTCCACAAGTCCAGTCTTTTACCACTCAGTGCTGAGTCAACTATAAAATCACACCACTGGGTTCTGTCACCCACGTCTCTGTTCTGTGTTTATGGTTTACAAGTTCAAGTAGGTGCTTTCCGTGGTTGTGAGATCCTTTTCTTCAGATCTAATTCCCTTTTAACGTTCCCCGTAGCACCAAACTTTCCCACTCCTGTTCAAATCCTCCACCTCTTCTATTTTGGATGGCTCTTCTCAGTAAAGATAAGGTTGAGATTATTTGATAAGCTTCCTCAACCTCTTACCCCATGAATCCTCTTTCTTCCTGCCCACCTCAAGGTAAACAATAAATATTTTTTGGATCTAGTAACAGTAATGAAATAACCTTCCAGGAGTCTCTTTTTATATATGTCCCTAATATCCCTAAATAGATTAAACCTCTATTTCTGAAATGAAGTTCTGAGAAATAGCGTTTCTTAAAATCCAAAATGTTGCATGAGAAATACAAATAAAAACCACAATGAGATACTACTTCACACTCATTTAAAAAAAAAAATGGCTATAATCCAAAAGACAGATAACAGCAAGTGTTGGCAAGGATTTAGAGAAATTAAAATCCTCATACATTGCTGGTAAGACAGTAAAATGGTGTCACCCTTTTGGAAAACAATCTGGCAGTTCCTCAAAATGAAGTCACCATATGACCCAGCAATTCCACACTGAATTGAAAATATGTCTACACAAAAGCCTGTACGCAAATGTTCATAGCAGCATTATTCGTAGTAGCCAAAAGCAGAAACAACCCAAATGTCCACCAATTGATGAATGCATAAACAAAATGTGGCATATTCACACAAAGGAATATTATTCAACCACAAGTAGGAATGAAGCACAACAAGCTACAACATAGATAAATCTCGAAAACATTACGCTAAGTGAAAAAAGTCAGACATAAAAAAACACAATTGCGTGACTGCATTCATATGAAATGTTCAGAATAGTCAAATCCACAGAGATAGAAAGATTAATGGTTGGCAGGGCATAGGAGAAGGGGTAATGGAGAGTGACAGCTGAAGGGTTTGGAATGTCTTCATAGGATGATGAAAATGTTCTGGGATTAGATAACAGTAAATTGCACGATTCTGTCAATATCCCAATAACAAACTGTCCATTTTAAAAACGTATCCCAATACAGCTATCGTAAAAGAAGTAACAAGTGAACTTTGGGGTTAAAATGTCATAAAAAGCCCTTCTTTTGAGAGAGAGATTGAGAGAGAATCTCAAGCAGCTGCACACTCTGCACGGAGCCCGACTCGGGGCTCTATCTCACCACCCTGGGATCATGAGCTGAGCTGAAATCAAGAGTCGGACGCTTAACCGACTGAGCCATCGAGGTGCCCCTAAAAAGCCTTTTTTAAGCTTTACTTGGTTAAGCATAGAGAGATCAACCCCTGCAGGGTATGTCTTCACCACCTGCATTCACACCGTACCTTGGGTATTTGTCAACAGCATTCTCCCCAGATCCACAACAACTAACACGGGATTCTTGAATTTGAAATCGTCAGGAAAGATCACCTGAGGGGCAGAAATATCTAGTCGCACGGTCCACCTTTTACTCTCTTCCTGTGGAAGTAAAATAAACCAAAAATAACATAACCACAACTGTGAAAACTAAACAGCTTTACCAGCTGGGCTCAAGCCTTTCTGAAAGCCGCACCCAGGGGTTACGGGATAACTTAAAGGTCTACAGTATTAGAGCAAAAGTTTAAAACAAAAGTAGATCCCAATGCTTAAGGATCTGAGACATTATCACAGGCAAATGTTTAAAGTGGGAGGAAAAAAAAATTAGCAAATTACTGGACTGGGGTTGTCTGCTCTTTGACTGTGATGATCCATGGCTTGAGAAAGATCATGCTTCTAAATTTATAGGGCTCACTATCTCACAGTGCTGTAGAAATTATGGAATTCCAACAAACAGAGAAACTCAAATATTTTTACTTCTTCACAGACATTGGCAACCATGAACTTCCATGTCCCAAGTATCTTAGTGGAAAACATAAGCTTTGACATTTGATATATAAAAAAGACACCAAGTTATAAGTGTGTTCACTGTTCTTCCCTGAAACTAAAATTAGCCTCACATACACGGATACAGTAAAAAGCTAATCTACGTCAATGGTATCAAAAAGGAAACATCCCTAGGATAGTAAGAGGATACTAACTGCTGCCTTTGTGTTCAAACACACACACGAGAAACAAAAAACAGGACTAATTCTTCATCCCATACCACAGCCGGTACCGTCTTACTTGGAACACTGCTGCTGTCCCTTACGCGTACAGGGGCTCTGCTCTCTGAAGGGGGCCAGGCTCTCCCTCTCCACCTACCGCTGCATCTGAGCAGTGCACCTCCGGGCCGCCGTGCTAGAAACAGTTTTGCTGGACTGCTAAGGTGTTTCTCCTGGTCTACGGCATCCTCGCGTCAGTTGGTCACTTAGCATCACAAAGGGACTATCACACCCGGGAATCAAAACTGGGGCGCCATTCCAGGCGTTTTTCTTCCAATAATCATAAGTGAAGGGGGGTGCTCTTAAGTGAAACATTTGTTTGTTTGTTTGTTTTTTTAAGATTTTTATTTATTTAAGAGAGAGAGAGTGAGGGATAGCACGAGAGGAGAGCGGGTCAGAGGGAGAAGCAGACTCCCTGCTGAGCAGGGAGCCTGATGTGGGACTCGATCCTGGGACTCCAGGATCATGACCTGAGCTGAAGGCAGTCACTTAACCAACTGAGCCACCCAGGCGCCCTAAGTGAAACATTTGTAAATTATCGGGTCTAGAAAATGGAATAAGGACGAGTCTTAAGAGTGTTCCAAGACAGACACAGGGAAGAAACATGGTCTAGTCCCAGCCATTCGTTTTTATTCTTGACACCCTGACTGTAAAAGCCATGAGATTTTGTTTTTTGCTAGCTAAGAAGGATTTCATGTTTTCAGTGAACTTCATGTTTGCAGTTGAAACAAGCATGCTTAAGTAGAGGAGGTGAAGAACCCGACAGAGGGAATGCCTGCCCCTGCCCCACTTACGATGAAATCACCCACTAGCAAACGATCGAGCGTTTGTCGGATTTCCGCCTTGGTCTGCATCTTCAGTTTGTTATACTGTCTTCGGGCAGCTTCCGCCACTCTCAGCTCAAGTTCAGACTGATAACCAAAACCTGCAAGATTAGAGACGCACGGGAGGAGTGAGTATTTTCAAACGGCTGGATGGAAAAGACCACTGCTACATCTATTCTCACCACACATTTCCACCGAAGCTAAAAAACCATCTGCACAACAACAGTTCCTACTCCCACCTGCGCCGGCACTGCGTACGGTAACCGGAGGCAACGATGGGGACCCCGCCATGGGGGGAAAGGCACCTAAGTCACTAGAATTTTCTTGAACCATTTTCCGAATGACCCCAGACTATTGTAAATCTTGAAAGCATACCACTACATTAAGAGAGAAAGTGGAATTTGGAAGGAAATGCCTTCTAGATTCTATCAGGGACAGAGCAATAAAGCCACAGCATTTATGGCTGTTGTTGACATGAAGACTCAAAAACTGGACCAAAAACTAAATAGCTCCATTGTTGGGCACCTGGTGGCTCAGTCGTTAAGCGTCTGCCTTCGGCTCAGGTCATGATCCCAGGGTCCTGGGATCGAGCCCCACATCGGGCTCCCTGCTCTGCGGGGAGGCCTGCTTCTCCCTCTCCCACTCCCCCTGCTTGTGTTCCCTCTCTCGCTGTGTCTCTCTCTGTCAAATAAATAAATAAAATCTTAAAAAAAATAAAAATAAATAAAATAAAATAAAAAATAAAAATAAAATAGCTCCATTGTTATAAGGAGGGAGAGAGGGATACATGTAGGAAAGAACTATTGTTTTATCAACTTCCCTGGTCAATGAAAGTGCTTTTTCTGCTCCTCCTATCTCAAATCTCTCCTGGACACAAAGGGAGGCATGAATAAAGCAATGATGACATAGAGCAGCGCAAGGATGAGTTCTACAGTAGTTCACGCTGCACCAAACAAGTGAAACAGACCACTGACCCTGCCATTTAGAGGGAAGTTTTGTTTTGTTTTGTTTTAGAGGGAAGTTCTTGAATGTTCCTCCTAAACTCACTGGCCTAAAATATCCTGGGTAGCCAAGGAAACCACCATCCTAATAGAATGGAAAGAATTTTTTAAAGTATGCTAAAAGGAAGCAAAGACAAAGAAAATATTTAGGGATACTGATCCTTTTTGGAAAAGTAATTTTCCAAGGACATCTACTTTGTTTCCCTAACTAAGGACAACCCTATCCATGTGCCCTCCAAGCCTTTATGATTCCAGCCACTAGCAGGTCACTTCAATGTATAATAACCCTTGTCCAAAGCACTAAAAAGGACAAGAAAGATGTCTATAGAAAGTAACATAAGATCAAACAAACAAAAAAGTTAACCTGAGGTATGAACCTTTCCCTTGTAGAAAAAGTCTGCTACTTTTTTAATAGCCTGGGGATTATATATGATGTTCAAGGGCCTCGTGCTGACATTCAGCCGCCTCTCAAAATGGCTGTGCGCTGGATTTCTCTCATACAGCATCTCAAAAACCGGGTCATCTGGGTCCGCAGCTAAAGGGAAGAACCAGAGAAAGAAAATGGACCACAGCAAAAACAATCGCCTTATTCTTGATAACCTGTAAGGAATTCTGGAAAAAAGACATTTTCTAAATTATTTTCCAATTAGTTCTCATTTATGAAAATTTTATAAAACAAAGACCCTAATGAGGATTGCCTCTAATTTTCAACAGGCATCTTCAAGACTGGGTTGGTGTATTCACTCCCATTATGGAAACCCAGGCCCCGGAAGCCCTACAGGCTGACACAGGTCACACACAGGTTAACAGAGAACACGGTCTCCAAGACAAACACAGATCCACACAACAAACGGCTGGGCCAAAACAGGACACACTCCCTCTAAGACTACTGATCTGTAATCATCTTATTTCTAAAGATTAGTTTTAAGAACATATGACAAATTACCAGGGTTATGATCACTTCTGTCTGCAGATGTTGTTTGGAGACCAAAAGACTGTGAGACTCTGCCAACTTCTTTTTGCTATTAAAACATACAAAAATGCATAAATGTCAGGTGAGAGAGGACAGTTCGCCGTGCACACACTTCCTCAAGTTCTGCCCTTTGGCATCACTCTCGCTTAACACAACCAAATCAAAACTCATCTGACATCGGATTAGAGGACTTGCAGACTGACCTCTCTCATTTGTGCCCTTTTCTAAGCTAAAATGCACTGTATGCTACTCTGCAGTCAGCGCGTTTAATGAATGATTCCTAAATGAGTAGGAAGTATGTATGGCCCTTTAGACTCTCACGCTGCACTCCCACCCTCTCCGCAATCCACACTCTAAAAAAATCACAGACGGAGCAAGTGGCTAAATGCTCAACTATTCTGATCATATCTCTGCCAACTTAATAAGATCAAAGATCTAATTAGTAAAGTATGTTGAATATAAAAAAGATTACATATATATAGATAACTTGAAGTGGTTCTCTTGGAACTCCGGAAAAGATGAGACTTTCTACCAGTGACTTAGGGTCAGAATGCATGAAAATGAATTCCAGACAGAAGAGATGCGAACATTGACCTTGAAATGCAGAAAATAGTGGTGCTTATGGCATTTTCTTCCAAAACAGAGCAAACCACCCCACGGCAGCTATGACAAAGGAGAGGAAGAAGGCACTGCCATAAATCCCTCCAACATTCGCTCTCTGACAAATTAAAAAAACCTTACTGAATTCCAGTTTGTTTTTAATCAGCCCATTTGTCTCAAGATGACCAAATGTCAGAATGAACGTTAACATTACCTACTGCTTGCCTAAGACAGATCACAGTTCACCCCACCCGGGACGGAGCATCCATCCCACTGCTGTACGTACTGAATTCGGGAACACCAGAAGGGGAAACATGGTGCCTTCTGTGGCCAGGTCTCGAAGAAACAGTCCACCCAACCGGACTGAGAGCAAGGAGGAATTTCTTCGAGGAAGAGATTCTGCTAGTAGCTTCACATCTACAAAAACATCAATGTAAGAGTTGATAGTATGCCATGATAACCTGAAGTATCTTAAAAAGTATGAAATATAATGTTTTACAGAGGACGATTAAATATCAATGAAGTCTTTTTCGTTGAAAGTAGAACCAAAAATCCTATCTACATATTGTTGTGTCTGTATAAATCTCTCTATATAACGACATACAGAATATTAGAAGTTTCCTCGCAGAATGAATTCTAAACAGAGCATGTTACCATTGAGTTCAAGCAATCTGCTGACTCACACTAAGTTTATGGTATCTCAGCTCTCACGATTATAAAGTCAAACAAACTGGCTCTTTTTTTTTTTTTTCGGTTGTTTAACTTTAGATTACTGAGATAAATGCCTATTTTATACACCTAAATAAAAGTATATGTGAGATGTAAAAACACCAACATGTGCATAGCTATTTATCCACCTTTAATTCCAAGTCACAAACACACGTCAGACATGGTCAATCCTCATTATTCGTGGGTTCCACGTTTGTGAATTCTCCTACTCACTAAAACTTATTTACAACCCCGAAATCCATCCTCACGGTGCTTCTGAGGACATGTGCAGAGCAGAAACACATCACCTAATGTGCATGCTCGCAGCTAAGGGTGAACCAGATAACACTGCTCTGCCCTCTTGGTGTAGCGTGGCTCATACTGCACACACATGCCCCTCTCGTGGTCTACTGAGTGCCAAGTTGTTGGCGTTTTTGTGCTTTTTGTTGGTGATTTCATGGTTTAAAACGGCCTCCACACTGCAGTGCCGGGCCTTCCAGCAGATAAGCTTCACTCACGCACGAGTTACAGTGCCGCGGCCGAGTTCAGTATTAATGAATCCACGATATATACGAAGTAAGCTGTCTTTACACACAGACACGCGTGACACAGGGTTCTGTACCGATCTGCTGGTGAATGTTATGATCAGAGGCTCACAGGCACCTAACCCTGTATCTCCCCTCCCCAGCAGCGACTCAGCATTCAACCACCCTGCGCTCAAAGCAACTTGCTAGGACATAAGGACCACAAACAAGGAGACTCAAGTGGACACGGGCACCAGGGGAGAGTGGTAACAGCTGGGGGCTCTGCGGGGCAGCACCTGAGAACTCAAGCTGCATGAAGGCGCACTCCTCCGTCCGCAGGCCGCCCGGCTCCTGGTGCAGCAGCGTCACGGTGCCCCGCTGCAGCTGCACGTTCAGTCGGGCAAACACCAGGTCCCGCTTCGTGTACGTGCTCAGACAGGACGCATCGGCCGTGGGGTCGAAAAACTCCTCGGTGCCTGAGCGCGAGGAAGGAAAGATGTTAGGGGAACGCCGGGAAAATTCAAAAAGCACCACCAGGCACACAGATCACAGTGATGATGACATTATTTAACAGTTTTCCCCAGGAAGAACTCCAAAGTCATGGGCAACTGCTTCATTCCTAATATAAAATGATCCCACTGTTTTATAAGAGATCTTACTGGGGGCACCTGGGCAACTCAGTCGGTTGAGCACCTGCCTTTGGCTCGGGTCATGATCCTGGGGTCCTGGGATCGAGTCCCACATCCCCCTACCTCTGCCTCTCTCTCTCATGAATAAATAAATTTTAAAGATCTTTAAAGATCTCATCAGCTCATTCTCCAACGAGGGAGGACGTGAAGATTCAGGACAGAGTACAGCATAAACAGCGCTGCCCAACACCGTGAAATGCTCTACGTCTGCATCGCGGGCTCAGAAGCCACCAACCACAGGCGCCTTTGAGCTCCATGGCTAACATGCCTAGTGTAACTGAGGGGAAAAAAGAATGTTTTTCTTTTAATTTTAATTAATCTGAATTTAAATAGCCATCTGTTTAAAAATGGGTAAACAGGGACACCTGGGTGGCTCAGTCCGTTAAGCAGCTGCCTTCGGCCTGGGTCATGATCCCAGGGTCCTGGGATCGAGTCCCACATCGGGCTCCTTGCTCGGCAGGGAGCCTGCTTCTCCCTCTCTCTCCCTCTGCTTGTGCTCTCTCTGTCAAATAAATAAAATCTTTAAAAATAATAATAATAATAAATAAATAAATAAAAAATGAAAATGGGTAAACAAATCTATAGTGTTACAAGTCAGGAAAAAAATTATAATGTGCAGGACAGTGACCGCAAAAAACACCCAAAGCCCTCCGGGGTGCTGATTTGTTCCATTTCTCTACCAGTGTGCAGGCTGTACAGGAAGTATGTGACTCTGGGAGTCACTGATCTATATAAGTATGGTGTGTGCATGTTATGTATGTTTGCTTCAATTAAATATTTTTAAAAAATATAAATAGATAGCCATCTGTGACTACGGCTACCATGCTGAACAGCGTGGGTGTAAAGAGTGGCTTTGGATTGATCTTCAAGCTTCAGAGTTTAAACCTTCTGACTTGCTCAGTTCTCTTACGATCGCTGCCTCTCAGCTCTGAAACTGTGCTCAGTATTCAAATTCAGCAATGAAGTTGCAAATGAAGTATCTCTCAAAAATTTCCTCCATCTGAATCTATGAACGCAAGACAAACTGTTTTACAAATGTCTACTTCTTTTATTTGAAAAATACCACGGGCCGTTGCACAAATAACAGACGAGTTTTTATGAGCCAAGTGTCTCCCCTCACGGCAGCCAAGGGCAGGAAAGTGAAGGCCCTTGCCCACCTTACCTAGGATCTCCTCAGGAGTCCACCGTTCGTGCTGCTCTGCTGACAGCCCCTCGACCGGTCTCCCCTCAGGGATCTGCTGCCCATACCAGCCACCCCAGCCAGGAAACCAGGACTGAAGGTACTGGAGCATCCCACTGCCTCCACTGGTCTCTGGGTCCCCAGGAGAGTCTCCTGGAGAATCCAACTGAGGCTCTCGTAGGCTCTGCGTCAACCAGAAACGAACAAATATGAGTCTCCAGAGACAGAAACAAGCTGTGATGTGCCACTGATTCTTCTCTGTCCCCCGAGAAGCACAGCACATCAAAACTGAGCCACTCTGAGCGTGGCGGGTCTGAGCGCATCTTCTCACGGAGGATTTCTTACCTCCGCCAGTTCTTCTTGTTTGTGAAATCGTTCATGAACCAGTTCACGTAAAATCTTCAATTCCTCAAAGCTCTGTTCCTCTTCAATCCGACGCATCTCTTCCTGTTTGGGTTAAAACAAAACAAACAAAACAGGTCTTAGAGCGCCAGAGAAACTGGACACCTTCACAAACCCCTACAAGTACTGGGAGGGAACCGATCTGCCTCCCCACGTACCCACTGGAAGCCAAGAAACAATGAAGATAACAGTCCCCTCACCCTGTCGTCTGCATGCAGCAAGCCTCCTTTCAGCTTGCTGAAGTATTTGTCGGTGTAAGACACAGCATCGCGGGCCCGGTGTAACAAGAAGTCCCAGGTACAACGCTTCCTCTCCTCTCTGATTTCATTCAGGTTAGCATTCAGAGCAAAATACCACCATTCTCGGCAGCTGAGATGTTTCATAACAATGTTAATTACTTCTTACACAAAAAACTTCAAATAATAGATTCTCAACTTAGGCATCATTAATAATATATTACTCGATTGGTGTGAATTACCCATAATATCAGTCCTGTCCACTGACAGATAATCAACTGGTGACTCCAAGGTAAAGACTATCTTAAGATAACTGGCAAGGATTTGGATACTAAATATTTTAAATGGCATACTTCAGAAAAGTCATGGAAATATACAGGATCTTTAAATTTTTTAATATATTGGATCGGTCAAGCCTATTACTGCAACAGGAAAAGATTCGTTTTTGCTACAGAAGTTATAAGGTGTACTACGGAAGTGCTGCCCAAACAGCATGGGAGCACAGACATAGGAAAGTAGGTTCGGAGAGCACCACGAAGTACTTCCCACACAGTCAGATCCCACCGGAGCAACACTGGTCTACCTGCTAAGTGAGACCGAGAGGACCTTAACTCCACTGCACTCCAGCTGAGAGTAAACCCACACCAACGAAATATACAGTAAGAACGTCAATGCAGGTCAACCACAGAGATGACATTTTAAAGGCCAGAAAAATCAACTGTATTTTAGCTCCAGCCACGTGCCAGGGACAGTGAGGCCCATTTCTGATCCACAGCCAAGGACAGTCACGCTCTACAATGCATCTCAGAGGCACAGGTCGCTTGCAAGCCCTTACTTCTCAGACACGGCCACTTTGGGCTTCCATCTTCGGAACTTCACCTGCCTCTCCTTTCGTTCCAGCTCCTTGAGGAATTCCATGATTTGCCGGTACTGCAGCTTTTCAGCAGAGGTTAAGAGAGAAAAACCAGGTTAATGCTGACATGTTTCTTTTACTCAGTTAACACCCATCTCTACCGAGGACAGTTCGTAATGGTCAAGCCACTGAACGGAAATCCAGCGTGCACTGGAGACCACGTTTCAGCATCGCGTGGCACTTCTCTCCGACCACGGACGGTGAAGTATTCATATTTACTGTATGTCCTGGCCTCTGCTCAGCGCTTCAAAACCAAATCAAAACTAACCGGACAGCAACCCAGTTGCTGTTGGTCTCACAGGCACTTTCTTTCCCCCTGGAGTGCTGTGAAGAGTATCGAGACCCTTCTATCACTGTGCTTCCTTTGCCCAGTTTCTGGTCCCACAGAGAGAGTATAAGCCACTGGGTGGAAAGAGAGTACCTGAGAGAGTTTCAAGGGGATGGTCTCCAGATGAATATCGCACTCGATCCGGGGAGTGTGCCGAGACCTCAGAGGCTCTTTAGAGCAGTTTCTCTTCAAAAGAGCGGATGCACACACGGGCTCCAGGATGTAGTGATGATCGCGGCTCTCCATGCTCTTGTCCATGGCCTCCTGAGTGTCACAAGAACGTCTGTCATTATGGCAAATGTTTTCAGGATCAAGTCACATGCTCGTATGTTACCGAATTTTACCGCCTATTACCTCAGAATCCCAAACAGGACAGAACTTCTAACATTTTTAAAAATTTTATCTATATTTCTTATTAGGTAAAACATTCACATGGTTCAAAACTGAAAGGCAAAAACAGGTGAAATATCTCCTTCCGACTCCCATCATCCAGCCACCCAATTATTCTCCCCAGACGCAACCAGTAATACCAGTTTCTTCTGGAGAGTGCCAGAGGCTTTCTGCATATGTTCAGACAGATCCATGATTTTCTGGTTTTTTAACCAGTCTCACATAAGTGGTACATACACTCTTACCTCAGTTCTTTAAACTTACTACTAAATCTTAGAGACTATTCCATATTCATCATAAAGATCTTTGTTCTTATTTTTTATAACTGCATACAGTTCTTCTGTATGATGTACAGTATTTACTTAATTGAATTGGCAAAACAAAACCGTTCTGTACAACAGCATGCAAGCCAAAGAAAATCTTTTTTTTTTTTTAAGATTTTTATTTATTTATTTGACAAAGAGAGACACAGTGAGAGAGGGAACACAAGCAGGGGGAGTGGGAGAGAGAGAAGCAGGCTCCCCGCGGAGCAGGGAGCCCGATGCGGGGCTCGATCCCAGGACCCTGAGATCATGACCTGAGCCGAAGGCAGACGCTTAACGACTGAGCCACCCAGGCGTCCCCAAAGAAAATCTTAGGTGAGGGGGAAAAGTCCTTTTTCTGCATTCTACTTAAACCACCTACAATTCCTTTACCAAGAGATTAAACTCAGAATTTTTTATCCTTCACAAACAGTAAGACTTTATGCCCCATGATTTTAATGCCTTTCTAAGTATTTCCTAAAGGAATACCACCAAAGGTAAAGTTTCACTGTACATAGAATAAGAAAGCTCTTCTTTAAGAGTCAGAGCTGGTGCTTTATTCATTTAAAATCTGGACATCAAGTTTGCGAGATGGCTTAAAGAATACATAACTATAGTATGTTAGGTGTATACCACAGAACACTATGCAGGAGTCAAAAGCAATGAACCAGGAATATAAACAGCAACATTAATCAATCTTAAAAACACAGTTTTAAGTGAAAAAAAGAAAACAAAGAAACCTAGAATGCAATACAAACATGAAACATACACAAAACACTATTTATTGTTCAGAACTACATGCATATCAAGTACCTCAAGCAAACCCACTTGAGAATGGATGCCCTTGGAGGAAGACGGGCATGGGAATGGTGACCAGAGCCACAGAGAACAGAAACCTACGTGGCGGTAGCCCCACACTCTTTACTTCTGTACTGTGTTACCATAAAGCCTTCTGCCAGAATCATACCTGTAACTCCACCTGGGGCAAATCCCCCAACAAAGTGCAATCGACATCCCAATAGACGCTAAACTCTGCCACATCTAGTTGCTTTTTCCGCATTAATTTCTGTACCTGAGGTAAAACAGTGAAGAAAAAAACATGACTCTCTGTATTCACAAACTTATTCATTCATTCAACAAACCATTTCTGAGGAGGCACGCGTCAGCACTTTGCAAGATGCTGGGGATACAAAAGTGAATTAAAACACAGTTTTGCTCTTACAGTGTTCAAAATCCAGCTAACTGGGGATACAAACATGCAACAATTTCAACTAAGCAGAGGGAAGCAGAAGAAGAATACCTATGATGCTATGAGCAAACAAAAGAGAAAATGTCACTGCATGGATGAGCATCAAAAGATGTATACGGTTCCAGCACAGGGCAGGGTAGGAGGGAAGGATGGGGACACACATCGAAGTGTTAGGCCCACCATACAGAAGGCCTGGTGTCTCCAGAGGACGGTGACTACATCTGTGTAATGGGAGCACTGTACTCATGGTGTGAGGGCAGGATTGGTACACACATTTGGAGTGGGGAGTTAAGTGCTGACAAAAGCAGCTTGGAATGCTACTAGGTATCCTGGGTTAAGTAGTTTCCCTCCCCCCAGAAATTCATGTCCTCCTAGAACCTGCGAAGGGGACGTTACTGGAAATAGGGTCTTTACAGATGTAATCGAATTAAAACGAGGTCATACTGGATGAGGGTGGGCCCTAATCTAATGACTGGGGTCCTTCTAAGAAAGGAAGGCAGACACACAGGGGAGAAGACCATGGGAAGACGGAGGCAGAGATGGAAGGGATGCATCCACGAGCCAAGGAACGCGAAGGCAAACACCAGAAGCAAGGAGGCACGGATTCTCCCTCACAGCCTCCAGACGAAACCGGCCCTGCAAACACCTTGATTCTGGACTTCAGGCCTCCAGAACTAAAGAGAATAAATTTCTGTTGTCTTAAGCCATCTCATTTGTGGTGATTTGTTGTTAAGGCAGCCCTAGGAAAGGAAGTTTATGCCGCACTAGGGAGTGTGGACTTCACACTTCAAGAGCCCTGGAGCCGCTGCGGGGTGTGCCAGGCATGCCACTAGGGTGAGGGACGTGTCTGAGAAACAGGACTCTGGCAACACTGCAAAGTGGAGCTTCCCTCCTTGGTGTGCTAGAGAAAAAGAGTCGTGAGTGTATCAGGATATAGACAAGTTTATAGGTTCAAGCTACATTTAGAAATATCTGGCTCCCCACCTCCAGCCCCCAGCAGCCACATGCATTTGCCCCAGCATCCTGGCCAAATGATTCCTTTTTCCTATGTGTGCCATGATGTGGAAGAGACTAGGAAGCACTGGGTTACAAAGAATCAAGGGCCTGGGATGGAAGCAAGGAAGTCATGAAACAGGATATTTTATAAGCCCAGGCCAAAACTTACAGGATCCTGAAGCAAGGCAGTCACAGTGAGGATGACAGGAAGAGACACATTTGAGACATTTTGCAAGGAAAACCGGCAGGATGCTGTGAGCAGATGGATAGAGGTTGAAGAATAAGAAGCAAAAGGTTGAGCACAGGCTTGGGGAGCTCGGCATACTGTCTAAGAACACATGCTCCGGCGCAAGGGGGGCAAACTTTCTGCCAAGGGCCAGGGAGTACTCCTATGTACTCACAGCCTTCGTGGACCGTACAGTTTCTATTTTAACGACTCAACTCCACCCACTAGAGCACCTAAGCAGCCTTGAATGATATGTAAACGATGGGTGCGGCCGTGATCCAGTCATTCTTTACGGACAAAAACGGGGAGTGGGGGGCTTTGCTCTACGGTCCACAGTTTACCAACCCCCACTCTGCAGCTGGTCCATGTGGGTTCAGACCTGGCTCTGGCACTCCATCACTGTGCACCTTAGTGAGCTTAGCGGCATGTAACATGAGGCTAACGGCGGTGGTGAAAAGTACTGAGAATTCAATGAGGTAAGTCAGGTAAAGTGCTAAGAACAGTGCCTGGCATATAAAAGGGCTCAAAAGATGTCAGTTTTGTTTGTTTTAACATTCAGTAACGTGTTAGAGAATAAACGGGAAAAGTTGGTTTCAGGGCCGGTGGAACATAATGGGATAATTTTGCTTATGACAAGCCTAAACCGCCAGAGGTGTCCCATAGGCAGTTAAAGACCACGAACAAGAAGGTCAGAAGAGAGGTTCAAGACATAGAGGCATCAACAAACATTCCCAGGGCATGGCTGAGTCTATGATACAGAACGAGCTTCCCCCAGGAGTACACATAGCATGAGAAGAAAAGCAAAGCTGAAACCCGTTCTATGACTCAGTTTCTTCGTGCATAAAATGAAAGGGATAGCATCAACATTTAACGTATGAGTGAAATAACGAAAGGTCAGAGAAAATTGGCCAATCCCCGACTTTGGCAAATTAATCTGTTGACACAAACAAGAAACATGCATTCCCACCAAAGAACATGGTGAAAAAGAATGCGGCCTCCTGTACGGAACATGAAATGACCAAAGGCAGAGCCCCATATTCCCGAGAACCAGTGCTTTCTTCCTAGGTTACAGGCACAGTTCATACTCACAGGCTCATTCACAGCATTCTGCACGGACACATTCTTAATACAGATGCCAAATGCAAAAGGATGGGACGGGTTGGTAATACCATCTTCGAAGCGCAAATGGACATCTTGAATTTTTAACTGCAAAGGAGAGAACAAAAGAAAAGGCATTTAGACATGTGCATAGGTAGAATACGACAGGCAGACGTCAAACTGCCCTTGAGCATTTAAATAAGTCACAGCAGGCAGCTTATACAAATGCTTACAGCACACACATGTCCAATGCTACAAGGATGATAACCACAATCCTGAGAGCTATAATCACAAATGACATGAATGACACTTATTTGTGATCGGTGCTACCTCCAGAAAAGAGCTACAATACTTTCATTAAACCATTTCACAAGACCCCTTTAAAAAACACTAAAAGAAATACCGCTGGATCTAGATAACTGGCCTGCCCTCTCTTACGATATCTTAATCTTGCCTCTGTGTCCCCACACCTAGACACAGGAACACCAGCAGGACACATACACTCTGTACTTATTTATTTCCCCTGGCCCCTGGAGGTGGGCTACAGAAAAGGCACTCTGCTTCAGTGAATTAAAAATTGTAACAGAAAGTGAAAAGACAACCCAAAGAATGGGAGGAAATATTTGCAAGTCATGCATCTGATAAGACACTAGAATCCAAAATATGTAAGGAGCTCTTGCGGCACCTGGGTGGCTCAGTTGGTTAAGCATCTGCCTTCGGCTTAGGTCATGATCCCAGGGTCATGGGACTGAGCCCCACATCGGGCTTCCTGCTCAGTTGGGAGCCTGCTTCTCCCTCTCCCTCTGTCCCTCCCCGCTGCTTGTGCTCTCTCAAATAAATAAATAAATAAATAAAATCTTTAAAAACAACAACAAAATATATAAGGAGTTCTTTCAACTCAACAATAAAAAAAAAATCAATTTTTTAAATGGAAAAGGGATCTGGATAGACATTTCTCCAAAAAAGACATGCAAGTGACCATAAGCATATGGAAAGACGTTCAACATTAGCCATTAAGAAAATGCAAATCAAAACCACAGCAAGGTAGCACCTCTTACTCACTAGTGTGGTTATTATCACAAGATAGACAATAATAACAAGTGTAGATGAATATGTGGAGAAATGGAAATGCTCCTACATCACTGGTGAAAATGTAAAACGGTGCAGCCTCTTTGAAAAACAGTTTGCCAGTTCCTCAAAAAATTAAACACATAGTTACCATATGACTCCAACAATTCCACTCCCAAGTATATACTCAGGAGAACTGAAAACATATATTCACACAAAACCATATACATGAATGTTTACACCAGCATTATTCATAACAGGCAAAAAGTGGAAACAACCCAAATGTCCATCAACTGATAAGCAGATAAACAAAATGTAGTATATCCCAAAAACCACAAAACCTCTCAGTATGAATACTCCATTCAACCTCCTGCACTGAGAGATGTGACCACATTTAACACAGCTTCTAGAAGCTTAAGCCTGCATCCCTGGGACATTCCAGCCTCATTCTGAGTTCCTGTCTGGAAAAGCTCAGGGCTGTTTTTCCCAGCCAAAGCCTGACAATAGGTCCCTGACCTCCCTTTCTTAGAGCATTTACCAAAAAGGGCTTCCAATTGTGAATCCTTTCTCTGTCCCTATGAGATGTGTATGTATCTCCTATAATCAAGGACTTGAAAGCCATTCCTTTGAAATGTAATCATCAGGAAGGACAGGGCCTTGTCTCTCAGTCTGTCTCTGCGGGAGCAAAGCAGCCCAGCTAGCAGATATAGCTGGCCTTATCACATGGACACTGACCCTTTGTCATTTTTCACCTGAGCCCTCCCCCACGGGATCCCCTGCCTCACTCTCCCTTGGAAAGGCCCTGTCACTTCTGTGTAATTTGGAACAGAACTCTGTTCTTTCCGCTTCTGTCAGCAGTTACTGAATAAAATCTGTTTTCACCGCTTTCACTAACATTCAACTTTATCTTTGACAATCCGTATCTTTGACTGAATACATTATTCAGCCATAAAAAGGAATCAAGTACTGGTACACACCACAACATGGATGAAGCTTGAAAGCATTATGCTAAGTGCAAGAAGCCAGACACAAGGGGCCTCACGGTGTACGATCACATGGATATGAAATGTCCAAAATAGGCAGTTTCCATAAAGGAAGATTAGTGGTTGCATGGGGCTAGAGGGAGAGGAGAAATGGGAGTGGCTACTAAGTGGGTATGGAGTTTCTTTTGGGGGTAATGAAAGTGGTCTGGAATTAGGCAGTGGTAACCTAGGCACTTTGCAAACACACTAAAAAAACACTAGAGTGTACACATTAAAACTGTAAACTTTATGGGATGTGAACTAAATCTCAATAAAGCTATTAGTAAAAATAATGATGATGAATTATTTAAAATCAATGACAGCTAAAAAAAAAAAAAAAAAAATACAATTGCCTGAAACAGAATTCAAAGCACTCACCTCAAATGCACCAATCTCTTTGTCAACGTAACGACAGTTATGAAACCAACAACCTCCGACTGCATTTTGGGGGGCAGTAGTATACCTTGAAACCATTTAGCCTGTGTCATCTTGACACTGCAAGAAAACCCCAGAGGTACTACGTACAGGCTCACTCTTACGGCACTCATAAAAATGAGTGTGGACCCTGATCTAGTTTTTGAGAATGAAACAAAACTGTAATTAAAGCAGAAAACGTGGCCAACAGCCCTGTCACTGTAACTCCTCAAACCGCCACCAGATCCATCAGTGAGAGATTAAACACCTCCGTGGGCTGCTCACAATTCACTATGTAATCAACCGGAAACCACGTATTCAACCTCTCTCGCGTTACAGATGAAGAAACCGAGACAGAGAGGTGAAGTGAAATGCCCTGAAATGATCAGTCATGAAGGTTTAGGTGACCCAGCTTCTTAGGAGATACATCCTTTTAGCAAGTAAGAATCCAACATTCAAAAACAAAGCGAAATATGAAAGGAAAACTCCTACTCACACAAGCTGACGCAAGAAAAACCTGTGTCTGCCCAGAGCTGGAGACTTGCTTTTCAGGTTTTCCTTTGGTACTGCCTAGAAGAGGGCACACCTGAGCAGTCGGCCAAGGCTCTGTACACCCCATTCCAGTTGAACCCATGAAAAACAAGGTACTAAGAAGCGCAACACAGTTAAGCCTGAGAAGTCCCTGTCATGTTCATACTTTATAAAAGTCAGGAGGACTTACTTCAATATTCTCCACAATTCTCGTAACTACGGAGGCAGTAACTGAATACCAGTAGGATTCCCCCTTCTGCTGACGTTCATTCTACAAAGGAAAGAGCCGGAGTTAGCCGAATTCAGTGCTCTGCTCATTTCATCTGTCTCACCGCAGCTGGTCTGGTGGCCGAGGGGGTGTGCCTTGCCTTCCATCTGTCCTCCAGGGCTTGAAGCAGAGCCTTCTTGCGCTCCCTCTCCAAGAGCTTCTCCTTCTCATCATTGAAATCCTCTAGCTTTTCAGGGGATCCGATTAAGTGAAGGCTGGAGATGGAGATCACCCAAGGGTCCACGTGGGGGCGATAAAAGGGAATCTGAAGAGTTACCTTCCCAATCAGGCCTGGGAAAAGCAAAGTCTTGTCAAGTGCTGACACATTTTTACTTCTATTTTTCTGTATTCTTTTAGTTTTGTATAAGAAGCATAAGAACTTTTACCATTTAGTTTTTAATCTAAGAAAACAGGCAGCAGGTTCTCGTACATGGGAAACAGAAAGTTAGTAGGCTGAGATCTCTAAGAACGAGGCACAATAAAGTAAAAGATGCAAAAGCCCAGGGTGGAGGCGCCTGGTGGCTCAGTGTTAGGTTAAGCATCTGCCTTCGACTCAGGTCATGATGCCGGGGTCCTGGGATCGAGCCCCGTGTCAGGCCCCCCGCTTGGCGGGGAGCCTGCTTCCCTCTCCTTCCCTGCTTGTGCTCTCTGTCGCTATTTCTCTCTCTCTCTCAAATAAAATCTTTAAAAAAGAAAAAGCCCAGTGTGACTTGGCCCTATCAAATGCAACAGCCCTCCTCCGCGAGTTGCCTCTTCCCCAACTGAACTACATCTTAAACTTCCTTGGGGTGTCTTTCTCCCCACGGCCCCTGCACAAGCCCATGAGCATGAAACTCATTTCTTGCTTGTTATTCATGGGCTGGTTGAGGAGCACTTCTTGGGAGTTACTGGACTTACTTACAGCATGTCCAGTCTTGAACATACCAACTGAAACATGGGTCACAGAACTACTGTGGCACTCTATCAAGGAAGAATCCTGATTCTTCATGAGAACCCGGACTGACGAGAAACCTGCTAGAACCATGATACTGATTTCCCAAGTCCTACCATTTCTAGCCGAGGCTCCCAGGACACAGGTCTTCTTAAAATTCAATTAATAAGAGGCAAGTCACCACTAAAGAATAATGCATAAGAATATCTGAACTGTCCTAAAGGATCTCTCGAAGATCCACATGGCCCAACTAATATGTTCCCTCTGAAAGAAAAACATGTTATCAATTGCTACCCTCTAAGATCTAGAATTCAAGTGGAATTGGTCTGTTGAAGATAAGAGAATATTAACACCAAGTGATCGACTGTGTAATCCAGTAATAAATTAAGAAATGTGGCAACAAATAATCAAAAAACATTTTAATTTGAATTTTATCTAGAAAAATTAAAGTAAGATTTTCTATTTAATAGTTTATATAATAACTGAAACCGAATACAAATTTTCACCACAAAGAGTTTAATAATAATTGGTGCGCAGTTGCAATTCTAACCTAAATTACTGGGGGAAGAGGCATGTTTGATAAATTAGGTGACAGCAAAATATAACCTCTGTTACATTTCATTTAATTTTTGCGGAACAAGTACAAATAGAGTCATTTTTGCAAAAATATTAAGAAACTTCATCAGTGTTCCCCAAGAGCCTCTCCCAATCCTTTGATATTCAAATAATAATCTGTGGAAGTACCCTCAGTATCATCATTTCTGAGCTTCTTTCAGATTCTAATTTGTCAGTGTCTTTGCCTGTGATCCTGGCAGTTCACCCATCACTTGAACTGACTTCAAGAAAGCCTAAATCTTTTGCAAGATTTCTATCCTACTCCACCTAGCAACTGACTTGCATTGTACTTGCATTGTACTGTAATATAAGTACCCAAAAATAATGGAAAGACTGACATCAACAGGTATTATTGAATGATGATGGGGTGTCTGAATAGGGACTAATTTTATACACGGTCATTTAACAAGGAATTTTAAGACTTTATTTTTAAGTAATCTTTACACCCAACATGGGGCTCGAACTCACAACCCCGAGATCAAGAGTAGCAGGTTCCACTGACTGAGCCAGCCAAGCACCCCAACAAAGAATATTTTTATTCCAGGACAATTCTTGTTTCCTCACCAAATCTAGTAACTGCAGAACTCCTATCATAACTGCAAACCTCTACTGAGTGTGCTAGGCATTGTTCGAGTAATTTTAATGCATTAACTCATGTATTCCTCTCCACAACCCTCTGATATAGGTACAATGATTATCACCTCCTCTTAAAGACTGAGAAACACACAGAGCAGTGAGGGAACTTCCCCAAGGCCACACCGCCTTGGGGTGTGACAGCAGATATGGAATATACGCCCAAACACACTGTTCCAGAGCCCACCTTTCATTCAATAAACTATCTCTCAGTAATATTATGAATTCCCCAAAAATAAGACCACCCCCCACCCCCGTATCTAGGACAGAAGTTCTCACACTTCAGGAAACGTTAAGAATCACCTGTGGTGCTTATGAAACATACAGGTTCAATGACACTCCCTTGGTTCTGATTCAGTGGGTCTGGGAAACACCTGACCTCCCCACTGCTGCCCCAAGGTCATCCTGACAGAAAAGGCCACGCTCAAGGACTGATCTAAACTCCTTATTTCCTATCCTGCCTCTTCCTGCTCAAACAGAACCAAACCCAAGGGCTCTGGGTTTTCCTGTCCCAAGCAGTGGAAGAAGCAGTGGAAGACTGCCTCCCTCTCCTGCGGAGTTCCACACACCAGCTTTGACTTCAAATGGTAATTCCAGTTCTTTCAAGGCATCTTTCTTTAAGGGCAAATTTTCCAACTCAACAGCACCTGAAAAATAAAAACAATAGCATGAAATGTTCACCCAACACAGGCAGTAGGCACCTACTGTGTGCAAATCTTAGAAGGTTAAAGGGCAAGTTTTACAGCTCAGCCTGGCCAGAAAAAGCCAGGAGCAGCACTGCGACCAGCCTGTGTTCTCTGTCTACACTAGTTTCCTGACCACCCCATTCTGACAGCTGAAGCTCACCAGCAGGTGAAGGGTGTAGGCAGGAATCTTTTTCTATAATAAGCCAGACAGTACATATTTCAAGCTTTACGGTATCTGTTGTATATTCTCTCTGGTGTTTTTTGTTTTTTTTTTTACAAGGCTTTAAAAATATAAAAGCCATCCTCAGTTTGGATTTGGTCCACTAGCCAGTTTGCAGACCCCTAGTTTAGGTGAATATTCACTAGACGACCATTAACATCTGAGTCAGCTGGGAAGAAATGCAGGCTCCAGGGCCCCCTGCAAGACATCGCTGGGATTGAAACACAGAAATCTGCAATTTTTAACAAGCTCCAGCAACCCACCCACCCCCCAACAAATGGGTCTACTGCACGCAACATCTGAGAGCCCATGAAGAGTTCAATAAAATTGGTCATCAAAAGGAATTCTACTCTCCCTTCTGGAGAGACCAGTTCTGCTCCACATCTACACTTGCAGGCTTAATCACCTGTCCGAAAGCAAAGAACAAACCACCGCTGAAGGTCCTTTTCAGAGCTAGCTTTTACAGAACTTAAACCTAGAGGTTCGAGATGTCTCTGAACGGCCAAGGCTCTCTGCCTTGCTCTCACTCCCCCAGCTGTGGAAGTCATGCGTCCACACTGACATACCACTCCCCAACCTCTAGCAGGCATTGTGCTGGCCACTGGGAATATGAAAAGAGAAGGCAGGGTCCCCATCCTAAAGGGCAGAGGAAACAGCCATAATTCTACAAAACTGTTTGCACAACTTAAGGCAATTTCTGAGAACAGGGAGTACAGACAACCACCCAGGAACCACTGGTACAGGAACTCAGAAGAGAGGCAAGCCAGCCAAAGACAAACTAATGCGAGAAACAATTATTTTTTTCCTTTAAATGACTGTTCAAGACTTGTGGGTAATTGGCTTCTAAAATATTCAAATCTAGCAGCTTGGCAGATGCTGAGCAAATGCAACCAGCTTATGTTTTAGACGTTTGCAGGAACATGTGTCCCCATGTGGGTCCTCCCATAGCTTAAGACTAACCAAAAGGAGACGTTAATAACCCCCGAGAGCCCAGAAACAACTCTACTTCCACATTTGGGGAGTAAATGATCTTGGTGGGGGGGGGGGGACATGAAACATGTTCCTCAACAGTTGAAACTGACTTAAAGGGGGAAAGCATATGGTTTCTTCTTTTGAAAAGCATCATTTGCAATTTGAATCATTTGCCCTATTTTTCAATACCCAAATTCGTCACAAAGGCAGACAGCACTAGGTTTCCTTGGCTGCTGTGCACCTTGGGGAAGTGGAAGGAACAGTAGGCAGCCCACGCCGGGGAAAATTAATGCTTAAGTGCGGGGAGCGAAAGAGGTGCTCTAGGAAGGAGAAGAAGCTGGGGAAAGGACAAAAAGAAAGGGCAGCCTCCAGCACATCAGAAACAAGCAGCAGCGGCCGGTCAGTCGGTGGTTCCGGACGGAAGGCTCGCTGATTCCCCACCCACTCAAATATGCACCCACACTTGGCCCTGCTGGGAAAGGTCCCTCAAGGGACCCAGAGTAGGTGAGGACTTTATAAATGATAACGCTCTTCGTTTCTTTCCAGGCAGATAACGTGCAGGCTTATTCCTGGACGTCTCCTCCCAAAATGCTTCAGCTTAGCCGAGCAAGAAGCAAAGTCCCTAGAACTGGGGTACATCTCGAGGCTGGTGGCTTTTCAGTCAGCACTGATGACTGCTGACCTCTCTTCCCGCGGCTCTGCATCACTTAGAAAGCCAGCCTGAGGTGCAGAGCTGATAGGAACAAAAAGGAGGGGGGCCCTAAGTGCTGGGCCACAAATATAGATAGGCCCGCAGCCCGAAGTTCAGGCCCCCTGACGTGACACTGGCAGCTGCTATCTTCTGGCCCCAAACCATCCCGAACATGCCCTGCGAGTTTTCTGCCCTCTGCCTGTACTCACAAGCTGCACTCCACCTGGAACATGGTGACCTGCCCCGCGCCGCCTGCCGAACTCCTGCTCAGCTCCCTCCATCATAGCCTCCCCAGAGTTCTCCCACAGGGTGAATGACTCCCCTGCTTTGCACCTCCCCCCTCCCCCCCGCACCGTGCCCGCATCTCTAGTGGAACAATATATACCCCCTGGCATGGCTAACAAGTTAAGAGGTGTCCGAGGGCAGGGACTACCGAGGTGGAGTAACAGGAACAGCAATCATTTAGTGAGATCGTACTAGGGCTGAGCACTTTATCTCCATCATCTCATCTAAGCCTCTCAATAATATGAGGAAATACTATTATCTTCTCCACTCTGAGGTGAGGAAAATTAGGTGTAGAGGTAAGCAATCTGCTTAAAAATCACAGAGGTAGGATGCCCGGGTGGCTCAGTCAGTTAAGCGTCTGCCTTCGGCTCAGGTCATGATCCCGGGGTCCTGGGATCGAGCCCCGTATCGGGCTCCCTGCTCAGCAGGGAGTCTGCTTCTCCCTCTCCCCTGCAGCTCCCTCTGCTGCTCCCCCTGCTTGTGCTCTCTCTCTCTCTCTGTCAAATAAATAAATAAATAAATAATCTTCCAAAAAAATAAAAAAGTCACCGAGCTGATAGGTGGTAGTCCTAGAGTTCGTACCAGGTCTGTCTGATCTCAAGTGGCAAGAGGAGGCTTAAGTAACTTGCTCACCGTCACAAACAGCTGTTAAGTGGTGAGACCAGGCTCAGACCCTATGCCTGAGCTCCTGGTATCTTCTACTGTCCCCCCTTTTTTGTTATCAGTCCCTAACACAGAGCCGTACCCAAAGCAGGCGCTCATTGTTTGCTGAGAGACTGAACAAATAAAATCATATACAAGTTCTCTCTCCTTCGACTACTTGTATGCTACTTTGCGTTTTTATTACTTTTAGTATGTGTGCACCCCTGAAGTCCAACCCAAGCCAATCATATGCTGATGATCATGACAACGGGGGATGATGACTGAGTGAGGGCCCACTATCTGCCCAGAACGGTTCTAAGCTCTCTGACCTACATTAATTCTAGTCCTCAGAACCTTATGAGACAGGTAATATTCTCTCCCACTTGCAGAAAGGAAGAATTTGAGAATTCACGAAGAACTGGAATAATGTGCCCAAGTTAATGGTAAATGGGATTCAAAACCAGTCTGACTAGGGCACCTGGGTGGCTCAGTCAGTTAAGCCTCTGACTCTTTGATGTCGGCTCAGGTCATGATCTCAGGGTCATGAGATCAAGCCCCAAGTTGGGCTCTGCACTGGCTGTTGAGCCTGCTTAAGATCCTCTTTCCGTCTGCACCACGACCACCACCACCACCCCTGCTTTCTCTTTCTCTCTCTTTCTGTGAAACGAAACAAACAAACAAAAAAAGTCTGGCTATAAAATTCATACTCTTGGCCACTATCCCCGTCTTCTTGGCATCTCCCAGAGCATCTCAGACACTAAATATCTGCAGATGGACTGAAATAACTTTCTTGTGCCTACACAGGACCCTCTGCCTCCAAACACTGCTTAACTATAACTGCAATGTTCACTGCTCCAACACTTTCCTAGCCAAGCATTGTGGTATGCTTTGAATCCATAAGGATAGGGCACCACACGAACACTGGCTATGAAAGAAACATTATTTTTCTATTCTGCAAAGAGAGTATTTTTTAAACAGGAAGCACAGAAAAGCACTTTGAAGCATCAGAGAGATACACACAGTTGTCATTATGAGATATATTCTAAAACAGATTAGAAATCTGTTTAATATAGAGTCCATGATATATCGGATAACACAAATTCCTATTTATTCATTTCTTTGGTAAACATCCTCTTACCATATCACTCTTGATCTTTCAAGCTCTTTTATTAACAAGGTTATGGTCTGCAGTTCCCTTTCTCGGCCCTGACACCTGCCCTGTGCGACCTGGGTAGCTTCACAGCATGTATGAGAACTTCAGTAAGTGACCAAAGAGGTAACCTTGACACTACCTTCGTCCTTTGAACACACCCTCTTCCCCGGCAGACTGGTCGCTTTCACCTTGCACTTAGCAGCTCCCTTCTAAGGACAGGAGGGAAAGGTCAGGACAGAAGTTAGAGATGAAGAAAAAACCTACTTCTGTTTCCAATGAAAGGAGGAGAGGTGGAGGGGCGAGCGGAGAGCTCCCAACAGCCTATGGCTGCCACAATCCTTTTACTGGTTTAGATGGGTCAGAAAAACCTGGAAACAATATTTCTGGGGACAAGTGAGCCATAGGCACCCTATTCTCACAGACTCCACCACAATCTGTACCAGTGCCATCTCCACTAACCTGTCCTGGTCTACTTGCCAAAACCCACACCCCCAGGAAGGTGGGCTTCCAGCCGTACCTGAGATCTCCTTTCCATTTTCTGGGCTGCTACATGCTTGCAGACTACCTCCTTTCTCTAGATTTGTTCAAGCATTCCATTTTGAGCTGAGCGAAGAGAACTTACATTAAAACAAGGAGAAGGAAAAAAAAAAAAAAGCGGTTTTCCAATCCTCACACCAGTTCCCTGCACTGCATTAAATCACGTATAGGCATTTACCAAGGATAGGCCTGTAAAGGCTGAAGTGTCTCAAGCTTTATTCTATCAAAGACCCCACAGTAACATATTTTAAAGCTTCAACTTGGTGTCTCTTATACACCAGCAGGACAGGAGCTTTAAATGTCATTCCATTTGATCCATTTGAGCCTTACAGCAACCCTGGAGAGGTATATTATCTGCTTTTTCTTTTTTTTTTTCCTTTAAGATTTTATTTATTTAAGATTTTTATTTATTTATTTATTTTTAAA